ATATTGCTCTACAATTTCACCTCTCATTCACTTGGACACGTCGCTCTAACAACAAGGTGGCGCATTGGATTGCCAAGCCCCAAGCATCCAACTCTTTACCTGCTTTATGGAATGTCTATTTGCCTAGCTCTTTTGTTACTCTGCTCTATTCAGATGTAACCCAGTTTGGTGATTAATATACTCCCCTTTTATGATAAAAAAAAAATCACCTATTTGTTTACGTCATGGGTTATAGAAATGTGGCATTTTAACTAAAAGCCTTATGTTTTAAATATTGTTTACATTATGATTCAATGTCCTAAAAAAGTTGTAATATTTGATTTTTTTTTTAATTTAAAAAAATTCATATTATGCAACTATGAAATACAACAATGCTAGTAACATAAAAATTAAACGTAGAATGAGAGACAACACTCTCACAAGAGGTGAGTCTCTCATATGGGTCCCACACATGTAAGCTCCATTCATTGTGAGAGAGTTATGTCCCATTCTATATTTGGTTTCTGTGCATATAAACTTATTCTATAAAATACATACAACAAGAGAATTATTATTATTATTATTTTTTTTGGGGGAGGGGACAAGATCATGCCCCCATTTATGTCAGTGATTTGTATGAGCACGAAAAATACCTTGCACGCATACTCTTTGTGGTCAAGGTAGAAATCCTTTAAACGATGTTGTTCCTCCTACAAAGCAACTCCGGTGAGCTACCCGGTGGATGTGTGCCGAAAAACCCCTATGATGCCTATGTCAATTCATAGGATTAACTTGGAAAACGCTCTGTAAATTCGAAAGTTAGAGTTGCAATACCTTCATTAGGGTTGCCTCTGAGCTTCTTATATTTCTCGCATGGTAGAATTCCGATAGGACTCTAATTGGAACTCTAATTCCTTACTCATAGAGTCCAATCAGGGTTTCATCTCTTAAAAGATAAGGCTTATCCTTTAATATCTTTATCTTCAAAGTTAAAGTAAAATGACCCAACGCCTAGGCCGGTAACCGAGCTTACTCAAGATTCTAGGTCACTAACCTCTAGTGAGACCGCCAAGCTAAAACTCAACATAAAAACCATGCTAAGTTTGCCTAATTCATCCTTCTTGTTAGGTTCTTACTCTGGTTAACGACCTAAATAGGCTGTTCAGCCAGGTCAAAATGTACGCTTCGTTTGTTCGGTCAACATCCATATCCTAGTTCATCTTTCCAAGTCAACAAACATAGCTCGGCCTAAGACTCATGATCATACTAATTTAGCTCGGTCAAGACTATAGATTATACTGATTTAGCTCTACCTAGGACTATGGACCATATTGATTTAGCTCGGCCCATAGTTTTGTAACGCCCTGAAATAAATGCAATATATACTATCCAAAACAATAAATAAATAACATTATGAATTAGAGTATAATGTCCTTCTATTTCATGAGATTCGATTGTGCAAAAGGGTGACACATGTGATATACATTCATAAATAGAACATCCTGAATCTACAGCATGTGTTACCAAACAATAACAATGTAATAAAAGCTAAACAAGTAATTATATACCCTAAAGGCTTACATCTTTCCAAGTTAAGGCTTGGGTACATCAAAAGTGAGTCGTAAGCTCAATATAATTAAAGCCCTAGGCTTGTACAAATGTTAAATACAAAATAATATAACTGAGCCTTCAGCTCCACAATCCTCCCAAGCTAAGTCTTTGGTGAAGGCATATCACCAGCACCTGAAAATGTTTTTCCCAAATAGGATGACCCAAAGCCCAGTAGAAATAATCTAATACAATATATGAATCTTAATAAAGATATAAGTATAATATACACATACAATGCCCATGATAAAATCATTTATAACTCGTTTGCAAAATCATACTATGTCAAACTTATATCTTGATCCATTTTATCTCCATTCATGAGTCATTTTCATTTTAATCAGACAACCAAACTGATGATGCAATACAATGGGTCTCTAACCAATACAGCCATCATACAAACATTTTTATTTGTTATTTTTCGGATATTTCGTCCGTGGGAATCGACACCCATGTATACTCGTGGTTTTCGAGACTTTCACGCTGGACATTTCGACTAACTTAATTCAATGGAGTACATCCCATTTCTTCTCCCAAATATGGAGTATATCCCATTTCTCCTCCCAAACATCATACATTTACAATGTCTTAAAGATGTCACAACGTTCAATGCAATTGGACGAGAAAATTAGTTTCAATTCACCTAATTCTCATACAATTTCTATAATAGTCATGGTTATTCTCCATCGATAGCCCATAACATATATTTATGAACAGATATACAATCTCCAAGACAGATAACTTATTTGAATTTCAAAGTGTGAGTAATAATATAAATCAAACTCCACCATTTATATAAATATCCATCCAATTTCACATTTTCAATACCAATGCCATTTATTTATACAAAATAAATATTTGAGATATTTTAGGGCAAACTCCATTTTCTTTCAAAATTCAGCCCAAGTATCAAAATCAACAATTTTATTGCAACACAACCTCATATTCACTCCCATAACCATTTTCAATACATTCATTCGTAAACCCCTCTTTTGATTTTAAACTAAAACCCTAGGTTTGTTCAATATCTCCCAAAATCACAATATTGTTTATACAAAACAAATAACTAAGTTAAAAATCATAAAAGAGTGTAGAAAATCTCTACCTCAAAGTTAGAAGATGAGCAAAGCAAGGAAAAAACTCGGATGAAGTCGAAACATTACTCTATTTATATGAAAACGTAGCCCTTAAGATGCTCTACTTTTTTAACAAAGGCATACGGGTAGAGAAACCACTAAATCTAGGTGAAAATGTAGAGAGAGCGGGAGCTTTAGAGAGAGAAGCTCTAGACCTAGGGTTTTTAGAAAGTTTAGAGAGAGAGAGAGAGAGATAAGAAAAAGTGATATAAAAAGTGATTCTTACGGACTGATATACGCATAATCCGCTCAAGCACAAGAAGTGGCGCTCGAGCGTAGAATATACACTTCTAGTAGTTTTGCAGACAGCAGACCAACGCTTGAGCTCAAGAAAGACTGCTCGAGTGTAGAAAGCACCGTTCAAGCGTAGAATACACTCTCTCAGTAGTTTTACAGACTTGTAAAAGTATTGAGAGTTCACAAAGCCCGCTCGAGCGCAGGAAGTGACGCTTGAGCGAAGGAGTAAAATTCTAGGCAACAAAAGTTTGAAAACCAAGCAACCAACCTGTTCCCAACTCAACCACTACAATCTAGTAGCCAAATTCAAGGAAGTATAAGAGAGTAAGACATGAACAACAATACGAAACCATGAAACCCGAGTCCAAAATACAAAATGGGTCGGGTCTAAATCAGAACCGTTATAAGTTTGGTGTAAATTACACTCTCATTATCTATGAACCAAAAGATTTAATAAAGAGAAAATTTTATTTTACTCTCAAATTATCACTTAACTCTTATCATTTTAATTGTATTTTATACATAAAATATTCAATTTTAGATCAATTTTATCTATGTTGTTATAATCAAATAAAATTTGCTAATATGGTTACTGTTAAGTTTTTGTAATTGGCAATTCCGTTGGATAAAATTTTGTTTAGTTGCATTTTTATTCACTCTATTGTAACTGTGAGGTTATGAGAGTTTAGATGTGAATTCAACCCGAGTTGTGCCTGTGTAAAGCGATTGTGCTGACGTTTCGTTTCTTGACTTGAGCATTCTTGTTTGCTACTTCGTTGAAGTCGAAGTTGTTGCTTGACCGCTCGAGCAGCCATTTGTGCACTCGAATGGTGAAGTGGTTCATCCAGTATCTCTGCCTGTATTCTGTACTTTGGGGAAATATGTTTCACTGCTTAAGTAGTGGCTGTTGAGCTTGAACGGTTGGCCTATATGTGAGCACTGCCTTTTAGTCACACTGCACGAGTGGTAAAGTGGTCACTCGAGTGGTCTTCGCGGCTTTGTTCAGTATAAAGTGAACTGTTTGCTCTTTTTAGGGTTGAACCTGTCTAGATTCTCAGAGAGGAAGAAAATACAAAGTGTTCTATATTGGAGGTTGTTTTTACATGAGTTTCCTTGATGTATAGAAGAGATCTATTGATCAATGAACTACATATTGACAAGCATCAAGGGTTATTTTTATTCTTTTATTCATAAAAAGAGAGAGGTGTTCATCGGTGGATTTTGGAAAACTAGGGCCTGAAGCTTTGGTGCATTTCAGAGCGGCTCATCGTTGTTGATTCGACATCGGCGTTGTGGATTCAACGTTGGACAATGCAATTCCAAGGTGAAGACGGTGTTGAAAGAGGCGCATCGGGTTTGGTTAATTCAGGCATGGATTCGTTAGGTAATTGAGAGTATTCGCGTGTAATTCCTTTTTGTCTTTTCAGTAGATTGTTTTGTGACTTTGGCTTGTGATTTTTTTTTTATCATAATTAGAGGTTCCACTACAATAATTTGCACTTTTGGCGACCAAATTTGGTGACTAAAATAAATTTAGTCGCCAAAAGTCATACCTTTGGCAAAAAAAATTTATATTGGTCGGCAATGTTCCATATTTTAGCTACTAATTTTTTTTAGTCATTAATCCAACCAAAACCCATGCAATTGTTTGGTATGACTTTAATGTTCCATAATTATACTTTATAGACTTCAAGTGTTACTTCCTTTTTCAAAAGAATTGTGTCATTCAGCTCTCACTCTACAGTTATTATCTTAAATGATGACCAATATCTAAATGGCATATAGATTGAGAATCTATAAACCTTGCAATCTAATTTTGACTGGTATTGACATACTTAGGCATCGTTTGGTAGCTACATGTTTTAGCGAAAAAGTCAAAAAGTGTCATGACCCAAACCCGCCCCTAGAGGTTTAGCGTCGTAACCGGCCAGTAATCCTTGGATTACCAAAAGCCTCTTAACAGAATAATATATAATTAGGGGCTGCGGAAGCAAATAGCAATTATACAACAGCCACATTGAGTTGTGCAGACTTATATGAGACAGAAAAATCTTAAAACTTTATATACATATATACACATCATTCTTACGTCATTATATATATACACAGATTAGACAAAAATGGACTTAGCCCTATTTACAAAATACACAAGACTTGTCTAACCAATCAAGGAAACAAAACCTAAACTTTGCATCACATAGCCATAGCCACTTGACATATTCGGGACCTCCACGGGAGGCACATAGGTTGGCTGACAAAAACAGATTCCAGACAGATGCATCTAAGCCTGGTTACGCGCCTGTTCACCTACATACATAAATAATACAGTGAGCTAGAGCCCAATGAATAATAACAGAGTAAAAGGTTTTAATGAATGATGTCCATATCAAATTCAGAAATCAGATTTCAAATCTCTTATCAAATCAGAATCATAGTCATGTTCATGTTCGTATTCGTATAAGAAACAGAGTCATATTCATATTCATACTCAAATCAGAAACATAGTCATGTTTATGTTCGTATTCGTATCAGAAACAGAGTCATATTCATATTCATACTCAAATCATGTGTGGTACTTCCTTTAGCGTAACATATCATGTTGGTCAAGCATATCAAGTTCCATAATGGAACCTTCGGTACCGAGTAACATATCTCATGCTTTGGCCGCGGTATTATTTCCTCCGGGCTAGGGCCTGTGCCACGGTATTGTTTTCCCGGGCGAGGGCCTGGGCCACGGTATTATTTCCCCTGGGCGAGGGCTTGGGCTACAGTATTAATCCCCAGGTTAGGGCCTCATGACCATAAGCCACAGTATTATGTCCCCTGGGTGAGGGCCTCTGCTAAGGATACCACAATTACGTTTCAAAGAAAAATTGGACAATCATTCATTCATTCAAAACATAGCATTTCAGAAACTTATCATCTCATATCATAAGAAAATAATTTAACTTTACAAAGTTATTACTCACTATGGGTTAAGTTGATATAAGGCCTCGGATGCCCACCTATATAAATCACATAACAAAAACACAATAGAAGCACCATTCAATATTCATTTCATCTTAATACAACTCTCTTTATGTGTTTCTAGTTTATTCCATGACTATGAGAGTCCAATTGGTGCTTAAGAATGCTTAAAATGTCATGAGGATGCAATTATGCATTTAAAAGAGTTAGTCAAAAATTGCTGAAAATAGGGTCCTTGCTTGAGCGCCGCTTTGGTCGCTCGAGCGGACTGTAAAATTTTGAAACACTTCTGGGAGCTCGATTTTCACGCTCGAGCAAGACTTTTCTCGCTCGAGCGGACAGTGTGAATTCTGGAATTTCCAGAATTGTCATTGAAGTTCAAATTTGATATTCAAAGCCTCAAAACTTGTATTTTTGGTACAAAAATATAGAGAGCCATTGTATATGTTAGTATATAGTTGTTATAATAGCAGTTATAGCATTATAGCTTTAGCATTATATTATAGCTTTATCTTTTATATTTCTTAATGTAAAGTATACAACTTTTCCTTTATGCTTTCGGTGCCTACAATTTGGCATCCAATGTATCATCTCCTCTCTATAAAGAGAGTGCATTCTCTTTGTAAATCAATACACACAATTACTGATTAATATAGAGTTATTCATTTGCTCTCTTTCTCTCTCCCTCTCTCTCAAACTATTGTTTCAGTCATTGTATATGTTGGTATATAGTTGTTATAATAGCAGTTATAGCATTATAGCTTTAGCATTATATTATAGTTTTATCTTTTATATTTCTTAATGTAAAGTATACAGCTTTTCCTTTATGCTTTCGGTGCCTACAATTTGGCATCCAATGTATCATCTCCTCTCTATAAAGAGAGTGCATTCTCTTTGTAAATCAATACACACAATTACTGATTAATATAGAGTTATTCATTTGCTCTCTTTCTCTCTCCCTCTCTCTCAAACTATTGTTTCAGTGGAATTTAGTAAACACTCTTAATTAGAAATCATTCATTCAAAATCATGCTCCAATTGTCCAAATTTAGTTTTAACTCATTTTTTCCATATCAAACCCAATTTCAAACCCACAAATTTTAAAACATGAATTAAACTTCTAAAACTCTTGCAAATTCATGATGCATGTGCAATTGAAACTCAATTTCATGCAAGACAAATAAATTCAAACTCAAAATGGTTATTTCCAAATTAACTTCTATAATTTTGAATCTAATTCAATTTCTTCACCCTTTTTACTAATTCCTTTTAATTTACATGAAATTGAAGTTATATGACTCTTAGGAAAGTATTTGCATGTATGAAATTAAGATTAAAACTAACTAAATTTCTATATTCAAAATCAAATCATAATTTAATTCTTGATTTAGCCAAATTTAGATTTAATTAATTTTCTTCATATCACACCCAAAACTTAATTCATAATCATAGATGTTCCATAACATATTTAAATTTTGAATAAAACTCTTTCATTATATTACATGCATGGGTTAGAGATCAAAACCAAATCAATGTCTAATTTTTCATAAACATGAGCCTAGCTTAATTTTCTTCATATCTATTCCAAATTTAAACTCATAAATCTTTCACACATGAATTTAAGTCTAAAACATTGAAATTCCAACATGTATATAAGGATGAGTTTCAACTTCATGAAGAATAACAAGAATCATGCTCAACTAATTACTCTCTAAATTTATTTCCATAATCTTACACTAAACTCAATTTTTCATCATCTTCTTGCTAATTCTTTTTAATTACAAGATATTGATTCCAATTACCTCTTGATTTCAGCTTCTAGATGATTTATCTACAAGATTTGAGTTTTAATTTCTTACCTAAAATCTTCAATTAATGAATCCTTGACAATATCTTGAACTCCTCTTCAATCCTTCGCTTTCCCAAGCTTTTCCGTAGCCTTTCTTCACCATTTCCAGCACTAGAGTTCCAAGCTTTGAACTCTCGCTCTCTCTTTCTCACTCTCACGGGTTGCCCAAAACAATGTGAAGACTCTTTTTTTTTCTTGCTCTCAATTTCCCTCCAGCATAACCATAGTTCCAGCAAGTAATAATAATAATAAAAAAAAGAGTTGCCTACTCTCTCTCCTCATATGCACACACACTCCATTCTTCACACTACACACGTGTACTCATCCTTGGATTCCAACACATCACTCACATGCACACACATACACATATTTGCTTAGTACACACAACCACATACACCCCCAATTCTAAATTCTTCCATAATTCAATTTATATTTTTGCTTAATTTAATTGAGTAACACTTAATCTTAATAAATTTTGATTAACACAAAATTAGTTAATTATAACTAATCTTAAATCCCACATAATTTAATTAGTCAAATTGACTTCCATTAGAGCCTAATTAAATATATTTAAATTTATCAATCCGAATCAGATTTTTAATCAAACTTCCAAAAGGTTCCAAATATTAAATTAAATTTATTATCATTATCAATTTTGATTTCCAAATCATTTAGCCTTCAATTTCTAATCAGACTCAAATTTCTATCACTAAATTACATATTTAAATTGGACACCTTATAATTAAATTTAATTTATAATAATCACAATTCTCAATCATCATGACTTAATCAACTCCAATTCGGACCCAATTAATAAAATATCAATTTTATAGATCCGAATCGAACATTTAATTAAGCTCCCATACGGTTCGATACTCGAAATTAAACTAATTCAATTCACCAATTATACTCTCTCGAGCCATGTTGGCTTTCAATTTCTAATTCCCAAAATAAATCCTCAATAGAATCATATACGGATCAAACTAAATAATTCTTATGATCCCAAATTTAAATTAGAACAATGGGCAATTAAAATTCAAATCTCCTTAATTAATTAAGTGCTATTTATTATACGCGGTGGGGTCGTCACAAAAAGTCACTATAAGTTGTCACATCACTTTTTCTACTTTTCTGCATATCTTTTCGTAAAAAGCAAAAAAATTACTAAAATAGCTTGTTTTCAAATGAAGCCTTAGTATCTGAATTTTCATATGGTTCTTCTCAACTATATTGTGTAGAAAAGTATTAAAATTCATTTTTACCAATAAATGAATGAAGTGGAGAATCCTTTTGTTAGGTAAGGACAAGTTATCAGTATTTTGCTTTGTCTTGAAACAACATTTCAAGCTTTACATGTAAATGTTTAACTTCAAAAAATGACGTTTGGGAGGTGAAAATGCAAAACAGCACCGAACCACTCTATGGATGTCACGGGTACTTCTCATGACAAATACAACCTATGGGGATAGACAACATGTAATTAGCACATGTAGGTTGGGAGTTAGAGGTGAAAACGCATTAAAACTTGGCTAAAAAAGGCCGTTCGGGGGGCGAAGATGCAAAACAGCTCCCAAACTACTCTATGGATGTCACAAAAAGCTTTCTCATGACAAATAAGACCTGTGAGTACAGAAGACATGTAAGTAGCACATGCAGGTTGGGCGTTAGGTCGAAAACACCTTAAACTTTGTTGAAAAAGGACATTCGGGGGGTGAATATGCAAAACATCCCCCAAACCACTCTATGGATGTCATGGGAAGCTTTCTTGTGACAAATAGGACCTGTGGGAATAGACGGCATGTAATTAGCACACGTAGATTGGGAATTAGACTCGAAAACGCCTTAAACTTAGCTAAAAAAGGGCGTTTGGGGGGGCAAAAATGTAAAATAGCCCCGAACCACTCTATTGATATCACGGGAAGCTTCCTCATAAAAAATAGGACATGTGGGGACAAACGACATGTAATTAGCACACGTAGGTTAGGAGTCAGAGTCGAAAAAACTTTAAACTTAGTCTAAAAAGGCTGTTCAGGGGGGCGAAAATGAAAAATAGCCCCCAAACCACTCTATGGACGTCACGGTAAGCTTCCTTATGAAAATAGGACCTGTGGGGACAGATGGCATGTAATTAGCACAAGTAGATTGGGAGTTAGAGTCGAAAATCCCTTAAACTTGGTTGAAAAAATGACATTTGGGGGGCGAAAATGCAAAACAGCCCCCGAACTACTCTGTGGATGTCATGGGAAGCTTCCTTGTGACAAATAAGACCGTGGGGACAGATGACATGTAATTAGCACACATAGGTTGGAAGTTAGAGTCGAAAACGTCTTAAACTTAGTTGAAAAATGTCATTCGAGGGGCAAAAATGCAAAGCAACTCCCGAACCACTCTATAGATATTATAGGTAGATTTCTCACGACAAATAGGACCTGTAGGTACAAGCAACATGTAATTCGCACACGTAGATTGAGAGTTAGAGTCGAAAATACCTTAAGTTTAGACGAAAAAGGTCGGAGGGCGAAAATGTAAAACAGTCCCCGAACCACTCTATGGATGTCATGGGTAACTTCCTCGTGACAAATAGGACCTGTGGGGACAAATGACATGCAATTAGTACATGTAGGCTAGGAGTTAGAGTCGAAAACGCCTTAAACTTAATCAATCTAAAATATATGTTGTTTTTGTTGAACATTATATTATTATTGCCTTATTGACAATGGTAAATGCATTTAAAAGTTTTCTCTAAAATTTTTCTTCTTACAAATGGGTTGGTGGGTTGGTTTTGGGTTAACATCTCACCTCTAGTGAACAACTTAATTAATATAGTTTGAAATACAACCTGCATTTTGCCCCCTTAGTAGATGTACAAGAAGCTTTTCCACTGTCAACTAAAATTCAAATGGGTTGGTGGGTTGGTTTTGGGTTAACATCTCACCTCTAGTGAACAGCTTAATTAATATAGTTTGAAATACAACCTGCATTTTGCCCCCTTAGTAGATGTACAAGAAGCTTCTCCACTGTCAACTAAAATTCAAATTGATGGATCCATAACCAATAAATATGCTGGTGTTGCTAACTTGAATGGTGATAGGTCTGGGATCCCAGTCCTTATAATTGCTGACTCCACTCATGTTACTACAATACAAATGAAATTTGACAATGCATATTTATTGATCTATTGAAATGTGGCAGTTTAGGCATGTAAGACCTTGACATCCAACTCTAGTTCTTGGTGTCACTTTGTTGTTGTAAGTTGGTATGCATTCAAATTGAAGAAGATGAACAGTTTAATTCACTCACCATAACCTCTGATGTTTTTGACTCAAATTATCAAGTTTTATATGCATTTATGGTACTAATGGGTGCAAATTTTTTTGTAGATGGCGTTTGGCGTGGATTTGTGGATATTCCATTTTTGTGTACGGAGGACAATTTACACTTTTGTATAATCCCGCTATTTTGTCGTTCTCTGCTTCCTTGTGGATTACTATTAATCGTACAGATAACTTTTGGCATGGTAAAGATTACTTTTGGTATCGAAAGGATAATTATTGGTGTGGTATATAAATTATCTTTTGTTATGGTACATATTACCATGGTAATTTGTATCACGCCAAATGACCATTTGGCATGGTAGTGAATATATTTTTTGTGTACATATGATTCTTTGATTTGTATGGCATTATTACTGTAGGTCTCCATATACTTGGTTTGTATGGAATTTAACATCAAAAGTTATTCCTTTTTCAATAGTTGGAAGTGAAATGGATGCAAATTATGAAATGATTGATAATATATGTATTGTTTTGCTTATACACATGATACAGGTGGCATGAAATATATACAGGTTTTGGACAAATTAATTTAAAAAAACACCAAATGATATTTTTGGCGACTGAACAATTAGTAGCTAAAAAGGAACTAAATAACTTTTTCGCGATTAAATATTTAGTAGCCAAAAAAAAAAGCGAAAGACTTTAGCGACTAAAATTTTAGTAGCTAAAAAAAATAAAATGAAATTTTTTTTTTGGCGACTATATATTTAGTAGCCAAAACAAAATCAGACTTTAGGCGATTAAAATTTTAATGGCTAAAAAATAAATAAAATGAAAAAAACTTTTTGGCGACTACACATTCAGTAGCCAAACCAAAATCAGATTTTAGGTGACCAAAATTTTAGTAGGTAAAAAATAAATACAACGAAAAAAACTTTTTGGCGACCACATATTCAGTAGCCAAAACAAAATCAAACTTTAAGCGACTAAAACTTTAGTAGCTAAAAAAAAAAAAATGAAAAAAAAAATTGGCGATTAAATATTTAGTAGCAAAAAAAAAAAAAAGATTTTAGGTGACTAAAATATTTAGTAGCTAAAATAATTACGATAAACAATTTTTTTTTTTTGTTTTTTTGGGAACTAAATATTTAGTCGTCCTTCATAATTTAAGTTTTTGGTGACAAAATCTTTAGTCGCTAAAAATATGCTAATAAATTTTATTTAAAATTTTTTGGCAACTAAAAAATTAGTCGCCAATTGAAAACTTTCAGCGACTAAACTTTTTTTACGGTCCTGCTGGAGACCCCCAGCAGGAGAGACCCCCAGCACCCCCACCTCCATGTGGGGCCTGGTAATGGCTGAAAATAAAAAAAAAAAAAAAATAAAATGAAATTTTTTTTTTGGCGACTATATATTTAGTAGCCAAAACAAAATCAGACTTTAGGCGATTAAAATTTTAATAGCTAAAAAATAAATAAAATGAAAAAAACTTTTTGGCGACTACATATTCAGTAGCCAAACCAAAATCAGATTTTAGGTGACCAAAATTTTAGTAGGTAAAAAATAAGGAAAATGATTTGTCCCCCGAAATTCTTCCCCCCGAATCCCCCTAATGGCCAAAACCACGTCGTTTTGGCCATTTTTATTTTTTTTTCCTTCTTCCATTTTCGACCTGCAACGCAGAAGAGGGAGAGGGAGAGAAAGAGAAATAGAGAAGAAGAGGGGAAGAGAGAAAGAGAGAAGAAGATGGGAAGAGATCGTCGCCCAGCCCGTCGCCGCCGTCACCCAGCCCGTCGCCCAGGTCTGATCGTCGCAACCGCAGCTCCGCCGTCGCCTCTGGCCCGCCTCCGCCTCCTCCCACTGTTATGGCCCCCTCCAGTCCATTCCTCCTTCTCCTCCTCCTCCTTCCTTCTCTTCTCCTTCTTTGCTTCTGAAAAAAAAATAGAAATTAGGGGGATTCGGGGCAGCTCGTTTTCAAGCTCCCTAGCATGGTCCAAAAAATAAATACAACGAAAAAAACTTTTTGGCGACCACATATTCAGTAGCCAAAACAAAATCAAACTTTAGGCGACTAAAACTTTAGTAGCTAAAAAAAAAAAATGAAAAAAAAAAATTGGCGATTAAATATTTAGTAGCAAAAAAAAAAAAAAGATTTTAGGTGACTAAAATATTTAGTAGCTAAAATGATTACGATGAACAATTTTTTTTTTGTTTTTTTGGGAACTAAATATTTAGTCATCCTTCATAATTTAAGTTTTTGGTGACAAAATCTTTAGTCGCTAAAAATACGCTAATTAATTTTATTTAAAATTTTTTGGCAACTAAAAAATTAGTCGCCAATTGGGAACTGTCAACGACTAAACTTTTTTTAATCGCCAATTACCTTTCCCGACAATCTTTCAGTGACTAATCTGGCGATCAAAACTTTTAGTTGGCAAAAATAATCAGCAACTAAAAAAGTACTTTTGGCGACTAAAAATTTAGTTGCCAAAAGTGTCATTTGTTGTAGTGATGCTCTAATTATGATTTTTTCCACATTAAATTGTTGTACCGATTTGTTGTTGATTGTTTGATTGGGATTGATATTCATTGTTTAAATTGAAACATAATCACAAATTAATATCTTGAAAGATTTTAGATTTTTCAGTATCGAAACTCTTTTTGAAGTTTCATTTTAACTCCCAAACTATCTCAAAAAATTAATTAGAACCCTGAATATATTAGAAAAAACATAAATTTAAATACTTAATAATATTTTTCATTAAAAAAAGAGAGAAAAATAAATTTTAAACAAAAAAATTTAGTATTTGTACTATTGAATATTTTCCATGGAGTTGTCGCTACCTTCAATCTCAATTTTGCAGGTTGAGTTCTCTAGATAGTCATATTCATGGTTCAATATTGTTTCTCAAATATTAGAAAAACTCCCTTAGAATAAGTGTAGTCTCAATTTTTACCCATACAATTTTCAACCAACAACTACTAATCGATCAATCGTATTGAAACTAATCTAGGGAATAAGTTACCTATAATTGTTAAGAGAGAGAGAGAGAGAGCAAACTAGAAATTTTGAGCTCAATTAGTTTTCCTAGGAATGGCTCGAGTTAATTTAAAGCTTAAACCAACAATTTTAAACGAGATCTTTTACATTTTTTAAAATAACGTTTTGTAAAGTTTATTATTTAAAAAATTTATTCTACTCACTTTTTGAGATAAACATTTGATAATTAAATATTTAAATTTAATTTTTGAGAAAATTTCATTTTACCCTTCCCAACTACCATTCAAAGTCAATTCAATCCATATCTTTTTAATTATATCAATTTTGCACCTAAACTATTTGATTTTGGATAAATTTCACCCATGCGTCAGCTGCCGTTTATAATCAAACAAAAGTTGCTGACCTAGTACCGAAATTTCGTTTGAAATTTTATTAACTACCTAAAAAAATATCAATTAAACCCCCAAACTTCATTTTGTTTAGGAGTCTAATTGATATTTTGGAGATATTTGGGAGGTAAAATGAAATCTCAAATGAAGACTGCAGCAAGTGCAATCTAATTATAGATGGTAGCTGATTGTATGGGTGAAATTGTTCCAAAATTAAATAGTTTAGGTGTAAAATTAAAATTATAAGAAGTACATGGGTTAAATTGATCATCGAGGTATAATTTGGGTGGCAAAATGAAATTCCTCCCCAAAATTCCTAGTCTATTCTTTATTTCTCTCTTTCTTAGCAATTGTGGGTTTAGAAAATATTTAATAGCACAAATACATAAATATTTTTATTTAAAATTTATTTTTCTCATCTTTTTAGATGAAAAATTATTATTAGATATTTAAATTTAATTTTTCTAATATATTCAGGCATCTAGTTGATATTTGGGGATAGTTGGCTAGTAAAATGAAGTTTTAACGAATTTTCAATGTTACGTCAGCAAATTCTATGATTATAGATGGCAACTAACGACAGAGGTAAACTTGACCTCAAATCAAATAGTTTAGGTGTATAAAGGATAGGAGTTGAATTAATTTTTGAGTACATAATTTAGGGGGAAAAAAATTTTCTCTTAATTTTTTAATATGTTCTAGGTGTAATTGATAATTGGAGATAATTTTGGAAGCAAAATGAAGCTTCAAACGAAGTTTGCTACCATATCTGATTATAGACGATAGTCGACGGCAATGGTGAAATTGATTCAAAATTGAATAGTTAAATATAAAATTGATATAATTAAAAGAAGGGAATAAGTGCTAAATTAATTTTTGAATGAAAGTTTAGAGGGCAAAATAAAATTTTCACTTTAACAAATCATTTGTAACACCACAATTATTTTCACATTGCATTTCATGATGATCTTTTCAAACTATTTTATTTTTTGTTTTGTTTTGCTTTGTTTTTTTATTCTTTTCAATTGACTTTGATTAATGGATCGTGTGTGCATTGTTTTGGAATTTATATTTCATCTTGTAAATTCCACTTTTTTATTTATTTTTATCCTTAGCTTTCATTAAACAGTAGAAAATCTATGCATGTTAGTATGATTTTACTTATATAAATTGCTTCTCAACTAGAAAGTGACCTATAATAACCATATGTACTAGAAATGTGACTCCAACATATTGATCATATTATCATTTTAAGAATGAGTAAAATACAGAACTTGACCTCTACTTTCGTGATTAATCATCATTATAAATCTAAATCGAGCATATATTAATCCTCGCCCCTCTCACCCTGTGGTGCAGAAAGATGATTTTTCAATAATTACATGCTAGTATTATACTACATCACTTGCCTAATTACAGCCTTATACTTCAAATTGTTTTGAACTTTTGAGTGTAAATCTACAAGCCTCAATTGCATCTTCGATTGATAAGAACACATTTTCTTTCCCAATTAAATCTACGAATTTCGTTGCTATCAACTTCTCCATCACCTCAAGCCTAGGGTTTACTAAAGTCACCTGCAAAAATGTATGAGGTTAGAATGTAGGGAAGTTACAGTATTTGGCAAATGGTCTGTAAAGGATATATATATGTTGTAACTCACCTTAAGCCCTTTGGCTTCCAAGCTTCTTCGGACCTCAGTTAGGGTTTCAACACCCGTTATGTCAATGGATGTAACTCCTACATAGCCATATTTATGTTGTATTAGCAACACCAATACACATTAGATTATAAATATATAATAATGAAGTGTATATATTTTTTTTCTATGCACATAGCAATATTGATATATATAAGGGTAGCATTTGGTAAGTTATTCTTGTACCATCAATGTTGCTAAGTATAATAGTTGACAATCTTGCTTTGCAAATTTACTAGGTGAATTATTATGCTTACCTCCCAAATCTAGCAAAACATGCTCAATATCACCATTCCCTTTAGAATTCGCAGCTGCTTGTTCATCTCTAACCCATCTCAAAATCCTACTCAAAAATTGGATAGAGAAGTAAGATATGGAGTCGGTCCACAATTGTCAATATCTTGTCAAAAATGATAAAAAAGTAAAATCAAAATTAATTACCTCTCTTTTATGTAAGTGCAATTCGGAAAGTATATAGGGGAACCAAGTTTCAAAATGAGGATCCCAGGGACCTCTATTGCGTCAGGATACTGTTCTATATCGCGATACAATGTCGAGTTTGGTATGTTTCCAAGCTTGCAAGTAACAGGCCTAGCCACATATAAAAGTGCTCTGAGTATGGAAAGTCCTACCTGAAACCAAAGAATTACATCAATTCACATAATAAGAATTAGATTTTCTTAATTTTAAATTGGATGAAATGGGAGAGGAGAGATGAGATCTTGTATTGATGCATTTGCTTTACAAAATGAATGAACTAAAAATTATGATTCTATACAATACTTTAAAATTTTACGTTGAGCAATCATCTCAATTATTAATTTGAATCTTCTATTTCCATCAGACATCCAATATGGAAAACAATATGCTTGTCCAATGACTTGGTATTGTTGTAACCAACTCAATTTAAATGGTTTGATGGTTAAACTGCTTGGATTCCATTAACAATATTTATCGCATCCAAAATGCAGTGTTACAGCTAGCAACATTGCATTCGTTATGGATGGGCATATACTCCACCAAAATGAATGCAGTGTTGCTATATTACATCATGAATACTTATTTGTGAATTTTTCATAGTCTGTAGCATTACTATTTGGATCATCATTTGATATCGACTTTAAGCAAAGTCAAGATTTGTTAAATTTCCAAGAAGCAAACATTGAAACCATTAGATTTATATGTCATAAAATTGGAATTATGTCACTTGGAAGAAATTCTTACTGATAGCATGAGGCCGATGTCCATGCTTATGAAGGCAACAGCAATGAATGCAACCATGCAAATGCAAAAATCAAACTTGTCAGTCTTGAACATGTGATAAGCCTTTTTATACTTGATCAAACCGAACATTGCTGACATGATGATGGCAGAAAGACCGACAATGGGGGTGTAACTGAACAGAGGAGCCAAGAACAATAAGGTCAACATCATACATATGGCCATCACCACATTTGTCATTTGTGTCTTGCACCCAGCATTGAAATTAACTGCTGTTTTTGAAAATGGCCCTGCAAATTAAACATTCATGCATGCAAAAAGTATTAACTAAAACAAGTTTTCATTTTTTAAAATTAAAGATTGAAAAAGGAAAAAAAACATTAAATAGACAAAGATGTAGAGTTACATAACATTCAAGATATTTGGGAAGTTTATAAGTATATACCAGTAGTTAAATAGCATGAAGTGAAAGATCCAACAATGTTCATTAAACCGAAAGCTACCATCTCCTTGTTTCCATCCATATGTTCATTTTTCATTATGGCAAAACTCCTTCCAATTGCTATTCCTTCCTGCAATAACATTTTTAACATGATATTATAGTTTGAAGTTAAATGCTAATTGTTTGGAGGAAACTACAGTGGTAAATAAATTAATAGAATGAGGAATATCAAATAAATGAGAAATGGTTAAAATAATTGCAAATTAACAGAATGCAAGTGAGACATGTGCACCTTGTACAAGTGAACTGTGCAAAAATGGTACAAATCTCATTTGCACTCTATTTATCTGCAAATTATTTTCTTGATTCTCGTTTCCCATTAATATAATTTTCTCCTTTAAAAGAACATAAATGTAACATATGAAAAAGGTCAAGTGTGTTGTTGGGGTTCTTACAGCCAGAGCCACCATGGCAGTGATGATCCCAGCTTGTATAGGTGCTGATATGTACTTAGGGTCAAAGTTCAAATGTTTAATGGATAAGGGATTTATTCCTTTCGACAAGTGACCTACCTGCAATCAAAAGCCCAAAAACAGATTAAGAATTTTATGATAAATCATAAGAGCATGATCATAATAGTAAGAAATTTCGGATCATCTTTCATGGTTAATTAGCACATTTCTCTACCCTCATCAAACTTTTTGAGATACATGTGCCCAATATTGTTCTTAATATGCTTCATTCCCCCCCCCCCCTCTTTTTGGGTCAAGGGGAAGGGGTCGAAGATGCCCCTAAGATCTATTAGCTCCAACTCACATGCATGCAGAGAGAGAGAGAGTCAAGGAAGGATGGCGTACGATGACTTCCATCGCAAGTGAAGGAAGTCTGAGTTAGGCATCTGCAAGACCAGCTCTCCCTTCTCTTCAAGTTCTTGCCATTGTTGACTCTTACCAAAAGAAGGTAGAAATTTTGGTAGGTTTGTCTCCCTCTCTCTCTCTTTGTGTATAAATAGAGACGGGAGGGAGAGGGTGACTTGTATCATTAGAAATTTGAGAGATAGAGAGCTACGAGTTAAGTGAGAGTATATTTCTCCTCCTCTGTTTTTGTATTTGCTCTGTTTTAGTGAAATTCTCATTTTTGTTTCGTTGACATAGGCATTTGGCCGAACCATGTAAATATTTGTGTCTTATTTGTGTGTGTGATTGCTTGTTGTTCATTTTTTGGGTGTCCATAATCCTAACAAGATCGAACTAGGCTTAAATGACTCTTTGACCACTAGGGCTTCGTCCATTGCTCGTTTCTCTTTAATTTTTTTATTTATTATTTGAAAAAAAAAATGTTAAAATGGGATTCTTAACTCTAGTTTTGAAAATTCATGTTGAATAACCACAGAAATCGTAAATTAAATTTGATTTTTTGGTAGCTTTGTGAACAAGAAGCATCAAGAGGTTAGAATAGCATTTGTTTTTCATGGGTTATGGATTCAGTCTCAAATGATTCCTCTCTCTTTCTCTCATAATGCATTTACAATCATAAAAATTAGAAATTTTAAAATACAAAAATTTCAAGATAAGATCGTGTGATTAAAATTGCATTGGGAATGAAAAAATATCGAACAAAGAATCCCATGTCTTTATATTCTATCAATTTTGATGACATTTCTATCTTTTCTTTAATATTGTAATGCGAAAAAAATATTCCATTTAACTATTCTTTTCTCTCTCATACTATAATTTGGTTGATGCCATAGTACGAGTGGAGTTAACTAGGAAAAATCCATTTTCTCTTTTTAGGTCTTGGAGCTATCTGGGAAAAATCCACTTTCACTTTTCTCTTTTTAGGTTTTGGAGCTAGCTAAGAAAAATCCATTTTCACTTTTTAGGTCTTGGACATTTTCCAAAACCTGAATTAACAAAAATTGCCAAACAACCACATGGATAAGCTGTGGTGCAGCTTTCAAGCAATTTGCCCAAATCATGAGGACAAGTAAATCAATTAGCTCCATGCATTCCTACAATTGTATAATTATACAAGTTGTGTGTGCCTTTATATATGCTTTCTTGAGACATGTCCAATCACTATCTTATGTTGTCTATCTCATATTAGTAGTTTCGTTGTCAAGGGTTCTTGGTACCAATTGTAAATTGAAACGTTTGAAATAATATTTTTTGATGATGTGTTTAAATTGACCTAATACACCTGATTGACGAATAATATAAACGTGAGATTTATGGTGTAAGATTAAGTCTAAAGTATGAAGAGATTTCTCGATAATTAGGGGGGAAAAAAAAAAAAAACTATACAAAGTCCGATTTACTATCTCTTTGAGTGATGTGGAGTTGTTTCAAATCACAAAAATCAATTTCTTTATAATAAAAAAAAAATTAGTGGGAGTTTTGAAACTTATGGTCGCAAGCATTTTTTGTTTTTATGTTTTTGGAGGTGTGTGGGGGAGAAATTGAATTGTGATAACTTTAGCATATTCATGATTGACATGAAAATAATAAAAAAATTTGACCAAATAATTGTAGAGTAAAAGCAAAAAACTCTTTCTAAAGAAGACAAAAAGGAAGGTTAGATCTGTTTCTGTTGTGAGATAAACTTCAACACAAAGGTGCAAAGTATTAATGACCAAATAATTGTAGATTTTTTGGCCAATTGGTGGGTGGGGGTGGGTAGGGGTCTTAGTTTTACACATGTCATGTGGCTTGAGTACTACCACTCATTAAATCCTACATCTCTCTAGATAAGTTTGTTCACACAACATGCATGTTATTGGTGGAACACCATTTAGGTGGTTTTTAGTGAAGTAAAGAAATTCAAAGCACCAAATGAGTTATTATTGATCTTTTAATTATTTGATAAATGTAAATTAATATTATTTTACTAATAAAATTTTTCTCTATATTATTGATTGAAAACAATTAATATTATATGATGGTTTGAGATTATATAATAATTACTTGTTAGTTGGTGGTGTAAATATTCATAAGTCTTTTAGGAAACAGGTAAAAAGTCAATTTCTATCTTTTTATCCATTTTGGGTCACATCACCTCTCATATAACTTACCCACAAAAAGATAAAATAAGCTAAAAAAGTCAAAAAATTAATTTTTTACTAACTTTTCAAAACACCTCAAAAGTAGACTTGGAATACTATATGACATTGTTTATATAATATTAATTTAAAACTAATCACGTAAAGAAAACTTTTACGCGTGGCACATATTGATTCACAACCCACATAATGTATTTCTCATTAATGGGGAATATATAGATATTATCGCATAATATTTTCAAAGAGTCTAATAATTTTTTTGGGTGATTAACCATAACTGGAGTGACATAAAGTGAGTAGTGCAAGGCAAATAATATTGTTTGAGGGGTGTTTCTATTTATGTTCACCAATTTTCTCACCATATCCATAGCTCTCTTACATTTATGAGATGAGGCTATATGGGAGCTTTAAAGAAAAACAGGTCTACTAAAAAAATTCACTAGTGTAATAAGTTGAAGTACAGAAGAGGAAGAAAGACTAACAATTTCAATGCCATGTTTCTCTGCATGAGCAAAATAAGCAAAAAGACAGCCAGTAACCACCACCACCATTGGACCTATTGCTGATACCCAGAACAACCTTGGTCTCTTTTGCTTCTGCAATTTCAGTATATTTCACTAAATATCAGTAAAACTAACTATCTATATACACCTAAGACAAATAATATTATCCCCAAAGGTTTTTTTAAAAAAAATCAATTAGACTCTTGTTTTACTCCCCAAACTGCCCCCATACATGTTCAAGGGTCTAATTGATTTTCGAAGAATAATTTGAGAATAAAATGAAGAGATTTTATCTCATTATAATGATAAGTGACAACAGGAGTAGTACGAGTTTAGATGTAAAATTAATATAATTAAAAGGACAATAATCTACTTAATTTTTTGAAGAACAATTTGGAGGTAAAATGAAATTCTCTACCGCTTTGTTTGTTTGAGCAAAAAATATTTTCTAATAGAAATCAGTTTTTACGAAATTCTTTTTCTAAAAAATATTTTTCTATGTTTGGTGGTGGTGGTAGGACAAAGGTGGATTCAGAGGTGGTGGTGGAGTGGCCACAGTGATGATGCCAATGGTGATAGTGGTGTGTTGGTAGAGTTGAGAGTAATCTAGTAGTGTGGTGGTATTGGTAAGACTTTTTAGGCAAAAAATATTTTTTTTTCTTTTTTTAAAAATGAAATACATTTTCTGCTCATATAAGTTTATTTTCCTTTGATCATGAAAAATATTTGTTGTGAATTATTATTATTTTTTATTTATTCATTTTTTTCTATTATACCAAATGTACAAAAATAAAAATTAAAAATTAAAAAAATATTATTCGTTCAAACGGAGTGTAATAGTAATCATGCTTTTTATGGATGTAGTACACCTAAGTATATATACCAATGATGTCCCTATCCCTTTTCACTGGTGTAATCTTGTAATTAAAAAAAAATTATTTTCATTAAATCAATAAAATCTCTTCTTTTTGTTTTTTTTTTTTTTTTCTCTTTCTTCTGCGGATAAAGAAAAAAAAAAGTATTCACAAATAATAATAGTATGTAAATACATGGCTATACATAAATATTGGTGTATGTATGTACAAGTACGGACAGAGAACTCACCACAAATCGAGTGAATTGGAGGAAAGCAAGGAAAATTATACCCACAATTGCGCTCTGCCAGTGCCACTATAAAATAAACAATAAGTAAAAAGTAAATTAATTAACAATTGAATGGCTAAAAAAAAATATGAACAGTAATGCCATACGAATAGATTGTTTATAGAGAATATAACGTGATTTATTTCAAGTTCTGTTATTGTCAAGGTTTTAAATATCAGTACTGGAGATGAATTGGTATAGTTGTCATAATTGGAGATGAATTGGTATCAAGAATCAAGTGACATAATTGTGAATTTTAAGAATGATTAGTTGCAGAAAGAGCTTTTATAGCTGTCAAATCAGCTGTGTTGGCCAAGAATTAAGTTATGAATCGACCGACGCACTTTGGTTGTGTTTGGTAGAGTTTTGTAATTATAATATGAGAGTATGAGTTGTATTTTGAGTTTGTAAGGTTTGAAATTATAATTTGAGTGTAGAAAATTTGTTTGATAAAGAGTTTTGAAAATAGTTTTGAATTAAGTGAGGAATTATTGATGTGAAATTTGATATTTGATATAAAAATTTATAACTCATAACCAAACATACAACTCAAAATTATTTTAAAGCACATAAAAATTTTAAAAAAATCAGAAAATATTTTTCTTGAATATATAAAAATTAACATATCAATTGCAAAAAAAAATAAAAATAAAATAAAATACTATTCCGGCCAGACGACCGGTTAGGCAAAATTTGCAAATTTTTTTTTTCAAAACTCACTCCTGGCATAGACATCTCTGCAGAGTGTTTCCAAAACACGTTCCAAATATCATATTTAAAACTCAATGTAGAATTACATTTTGAAAACATAAGCAAACAGAGGCTTTATGTTTGCTCAATATTTTCCTATTATTATTTATCACACACAAAAAAAGAAAGTAATTTGATCGTCATATGACTCAACTTTGGAACAAAGTTAGGGAGGATAGTAGAATATCTTGTAGAATATATATGGGAATATGGATATTTTTTTTTGAGTAGGGCCATGTAGTCTAGACAAAGGCTTCTCCATTTCTTGCTATAGATGTGATGTAAACCATAAAATTATATTCTTTTGTCCATAAATTTCTTTTTACAGCTCTGTATATGGCTGTAACAAATACAAAGATTCTGAGGGTTAAAAGTGGCTAAATACCAGCCCTTGATTCATATAAGTTTCCTTTTTTTATGAAGAAGTTTATTCTTACTTTTTATTATGGTTCCATCAAGATAATGATAAGGTGAGAATAATGTCAAAATTGTTAATATTTTAGTGGAATTTTTATATTCTTAGATGTTTCTTATAAATTTGTTATACATTTATCACATATAAGCACATTTTTTTTTGGACTAACCTTTCATCAATTTTAGTGACTGCATTTGAGAGTCCAGTTGAGCGGTTGGAAGCCCACTTTGGACTTATCTTGGTGATGAGCCCAAAACCCTCTCAACTGGACTGTCTAACCCAATTGCTAGATTGAAGAAAATTTCTGGTTCTCTCTAGTACAACTCTGGAACGTTAGTTCTAAGGCTTATTTTGCACATGATGTTTATTTACGAGTTTCAAAAATTAATTCCGCACTTATTTTTGAAAACTCGGTTGAAGGCAAAAAAATTTGGACTAACCAGTCGTCCGGCCGGTTGACCGGAACAGTGCAATTATTTTTTTATTTTTTTGCAATTGACACTTGTTAATTTTTATATATTCAACAAAAAAATATTTTCCAAATATTTTAAAAAAATTTATAAGCTTTAATAAAATTTAAGTTGTGTGTTTGGTTATAAGTTGTAAGTTTTTTTTATCAAATATCATATGTCACATTAAAAATTCCTCATTCAATTCAAAACTCATTTACCAAACAAAATTTTCACACTGAAATCATAATTCCAAAACTCACAAACTCAAAATACAACTCATATTCTCAAATCATATTTAAAAAACTCTACCAAACACTACCTGTATATTTCCATCCATTTATATATACACCAAAGAGTTATGATACATATACATAAATATAATTAAATTACCAAAAAATATGAAAAATGTATATATGAGCATGGTTATATTAGAAGTTTTCTCATGTACCCTCTTTATTTTCACTAGAGGAAGTTTTATGATATTGATATATGTATATTCTTAATGTATATTTTTTGGATTAATTTTGTATACATTGAATTAGTGATGCAACAAATAGTGTGGGTATAACACAAAATGGTAAGATGACTTATAGTCAAAATGTGAAAGGGATAGAAAAAGAAAGAGAATAAAAAAAGAAAGGAAGATGGAGAGGGGAGTAGTGAGAATTGTGGGAATTGATTGATTACCTCATCTCTGTGGCTGAAAATAGAACGCAAAACAGAAACGACGTCGGTTTTGGTGGTAAAATGAGTCACACCAAACACGCCTTTCAATTGTTGTAGGATAATAATAATTGCTGTCCCTCCCATGAACCCAGTGATCACCGAATGCGATAAAAAATCTATCAATATTCCTAGCCTGCACAATATACAAGTGTTACCACAATTATTATTCACGATAATAAGTTCATAGTAACAAATAGACTGATTCAGTAGAAGTAATTTTTATTTTATCAACAGTTACTAACCAATCCTATTAATTAAATTTATTTATTTTTAAGTTTTAATAAATTTATTATTTTCAATTTATTCATAAAAATAAGAGAGATTGATAAATTTATCACTTAATAAATTTATCAATAGAACTAAATGGTAATAAGTTCCAAAGTGTGACATTGATAACTTAAGTTTTTGTCTGTAGATTATTCACTAAATTTTTTAAAATTAATTTGATAATAGTAATCACATAATTTTATTATATTAATTTAAAAAATAAATAATAAATATAATTTTTAAAATAAATTACATATTTTTTATAAAAAAATTCTAATAGAATTACATGACCACGATTATTAAGGGCCAATTTGGCAATACAGTTAAAAGTCAAAAGTTAGATTTTAATTTATTTTGAGTCACATCATTTCTCATATTTTTTATACATTTTTTTTCAAAAAAATCCAAAAAAATAAAAAATAAAAAAATCAACTTTTAACTATCTTTCCAAAATATCCTTAAATCATTTAAAAATGATCAAATTATCAAAATGATGTGTCATAGTACGTTTATAAATGATGCGTCATATGTGGACTTCACATCTATGTGAGAAATGTGATCATTTATTTAGTAAAAAATTTAATATTCCTAACCATTTCTCATATTTTTTATATATTTTTTTCAAAAAAATTCAAAAAATAAAAAAATCAACTTTTAACTATCTTTCCAAAATATCCCTAAATCATTTAAAGATGATCAAATTATCAAAATGATGCGTCATAGTACATTTATAAATGATGCGTCATATGTGGACCCCACATCCATGTAAGAAATTTAATTATTTATTTAGTAAAAAATTTAATATTCCTAAGATTACTCAGGTTTATAGTGGCTTTGAACAATTAGATGACAAAGGACAGTATTTCTCTCTCTCTCTCTGTGTATATAAATATATATTTCATTATGGCCTTATTTGGCAAATATTATTTTTAGGCTAAATTCAAAAATAAATAAATAAATAAAATAAGTTAAAATAGTGAATAAGATAAATATCACATTAAATTCATAATCATTTTACTTTTTCTCTTATAAATATTATATCTAACTTAAAAAAATATAATCATCTTTTCAAATATAAATATTTTAATCTTTTAAAATAACCAAAGATTAAAATACTCTATTCAAATAATCTACATACAGAGAACAAATCGATTTGGTTTTTGGTTACTTTTTGAAATTGTGAAACATTTTATGCTTTTAAAATTAGCAATGATGAAAAATTTGACCACGGAAATATGTAGACAAAAATGTTGGATAGAAATTCATTTCAAATATGAATTTTTCTATATAAAAATTAAATTTAAATTACACATTATATTTTCAAATAACTTTTTAAATAATTTTTCTGAGTTTTTATTTTTTCTATTTTAAAATTGTATAATAAAAATCACTTTTTCACTATTTGGAAAACTTTTAAAATTATAAAAAAATTTGAAAGACAACCACATATATTATTAGCTTAACGTTTAAAATCTATCAATGAAGTAATTGTTTGTCTTGTCTCTTTGTCTGCCTCTCTTACCGTAAGAAACCCATAGCAGTTTGAAGGAGGCCAGTGAAGAAAGTAGCAGTAAAAACCAAATGAAGATACAATTCAGGTTCTTCAATTGGTGATACTTTCCCTCCAATTATTGATGATATAAGCAATGAACAAGCCGCCACTGTTCCTACTGCCAAATGCTTTGAGCTTCCGAATACCGCATACACCAGCGGTGGCACAAAGCTTGAATCTGCATTTCCCCCAATCCCGACTCTTTTATTAGTTAATTATACAAAATCCAATTCACTAATACCATTAATTACATTACTGCACTGTTTGTTTGAGAAGAAAACATTTTCACAAAAGTATTTTTTGACATACGATTTGACAGTCAAATCAAAATATTTATTGATTGTACATTTTAATTCATCAATAAATTTTTCTTTTTTATAAAAAAATTCAAAACATTTCTCGTAATCAATGAAAACAAGCTTATCACCGCATTACTACTGCCATCACCGCGACACAACCATCCTACCGCTACTACTGCCTATCTGCCACCACCCCCGCCACTACTATTACCATTACCCTATTGCCCTTTTGCTGCGACCATCATATCACCATTATTACCACCACCTCCATTATCGTTACTATCATAGTACAATCATTCTATTGCAGCCACTGCCACCACTAACGCCGCCACTACTAGTCTACCATAATCACCAACACTTTTGTCTTACAAGCAAACATAGAAAAGCATTTTCTACCCGAAAAATAGTTTTGTTAAAAAAGTGTTTTTAAAGCAAAATATTTTCTGCGAAAACAAACGGAGCTGGACCACGTATATTAATTGGTAGATGTGAAGCTTACAGAGGCCGATGATGGGAGGAATGTTGGCGAGCTTAGCGTAGCTGATTCCTTGAGGTATGGCGAGGCTAGCAACGGTGATTCCGGCAAGAAGATCATACTTGAAGAGACTTAAATTGTATTTTGGCAGCCACTCGAAGACCGGAACGAAGTACTGTATCACTTTCTTGGTTTTTTTGGAGAATGGCTGGTTCTCAAACTGCTTGAATGGATCGTCCGGGAAGAAAGTCTCTTTCAGGTCTTTCTTCAACGCCGCGCCGAAGCTTCTCTTGTTGGCAAAGTTTACCTTGTGAAGAGATTCACTAGGATTTGCCATGGCTGCAAACTTCTAAAGAGAGAGAGAGAGAGAGAGAGAGAGTTTTTGGGTTATGTTAGCTAGTGATCAATGTGTCTATTTATAGAAGCAATGGAATGGAAAAAAAAATAAAATAAAATAAGATAACATAAAAAAAAAAGAAGAAGAAGTAGAGAAGACAAAGATTGAATGAAAGAAGAGGAATTTGACCAGTAGTCTATATCTTATCATGGGAAAATATATAAAGTAATTGATCTGACTTTTGATTATATTTTTAAAGAAAATTACTACTTTTACTTTTGTTAATAGTGTGAAGCTTTGTCTCGACATGTTTTTGTATATATATTTTGATATTTCATAAAATTTGATTAATTTTAGAGTTTTGAAATTAATGATGGACCAAATATTCAATAACCTTTCGAAATGACTCAAGTTTAAAATTCTAAATTTTATTCTCACATTTTTACTGGTTAGATAACTCTTTAACTTGATTTATGTATTATATTATAAACGAGCTAATTATCAGTTCTAAAAGAAAAATGTGACGTTAAGAGAAGTGAAAATGAAATTTATTCCTTAATAAACTAAATTAGATTAAAGATTTGCATAGAGATTTACACATGAAAAGAAAAGAGTAAGGAAAAAATGAATAAAATAGAGCAAATATTATTTTTTTTATTTTTTATTTTTCACTTACCATTTCCTTTACCTTCACAAATAATTTCTCATATCGTAAAATCAAACATAATTTTGAAAAGTTAATTATTATTTTATTCTATTTTTATTATTCTATCAAATTTTTAATCCAAACACACAATTAAAAATCAAACCCAAAACTTCTAACAGCAGAGTTGTCACTTGGCACTAGAATGGCCTAATCGGTTAAACGATTACCACTTAATGTTATGTCATAATTATATGTCGGTGAGATAATTACACTTTTAGCAAAACATTATCACATCATATTAGATCCAATCAAGGTGATAGACAACTTATTGTTGTCATTTTCTGGGGGTAGTTTTGTCAAATTGTGAATATTTCAAGATAAGAAAGAAAATGAAAAATTCCAACTAGTGTCGGTTGTTTAGTTGTTGTGATGGATAGAGTCAATTATTTTTTGGTTCAAAATTGATTTATTTGAAACATAATTTAGGTAAAATTGGTACTTCCAAAGGTTAAAGATTTTACCCTTTTTAAGGAATATAAAATTTGGATCCTTGTAAATTCTGTTTTTGTAGTCAACATTTTTATGCCTAATTGCAACTTGAGGTTGTAGTTGGTTGGGTTGAGATTTATTACCCAATATTGGAGAACTTGTTCATTGTATATTGAATCTAATTAAATTATTATTTCTAGAATTATATTCACAATTAAATAAAAGAAAACATGCTCAAATTTGTTTCCAAGGTTTCTTCTTGTTCATAAAATATTGGATGTAATTGCTGATAAAAAAATAAAAATAAATATTGGATGTAATTGAATTACTCATGTGGGTTCCTATTGTTTAAAAAGAAGACAAAAGTCAAGTGATCTAAGAGTTGAAATGTTTTTTTTTCCTCTGACCTGTTTGAGCTTATCAAGATTAGAACTGCTCTTTGGCTCAAAACTTCAATCTAGGATTTCCCCTCTCAGTCATCGACATTGTTCTCAAATGGAAGTAGATCAGAGATTGTGGCTGAGTTTGTTTGCAGCTGTTATCAGTTAGGCTGCCTCGTGTCATTGTGTTTTTTTTGGCTGGTTGGTGCCTTACCAACTTGGCAGTGTGCCAGCATATAATTGGACTCTCTCTCTCTCTCGTTGCAACCTAGTTGCGATTGGTTTGATTGCTATGATATTCTTTGCACCCCATCTTTATCGATTGTATCTATTGTCTTTTACACTGATGTAAATCAATAAAGTTTTCTTTTGCTAATCAAAAATTAAAAAAATTAAAAAAAAACCAAACAAACAAAAGAAAAATAAATGTTCTTTTTGTAGGCGAAAAAAGAAATTTATTGATGTAAATGACAAGCAGTATAAGAGTAGTACAATATAAATAGATCAACGTGACAAGGCCGGAAGAATATGAAGCTATGTTTAAAAGGGCAAAACCCAATTTTAGAGTGAAAAAAAAAAAAATGTTTATACTTCATAATCTTTGAGAGAAAGTACCTTCGCTGCGTCAAAATCATCTTTATCAATGATATCAAAACAAATTATAAAATTTTCTTTATTATTTAAGTTGAACTATTTTATTGAATGCCTTTTATATTATATCTTCGAATTTGACTAAGAAATTGATAGAACAAACCATCAAACTACAAGGAAATTGATATAACAAACCATCATTTTCCCCGGACTCCTCAATGGATTTTAGAATTCTTTTACCTGCCGAGTAATGTTGACACGATCATTTGATCATTCTCCCTAAATGAGATCGTGAGGTTCTTAGAGAAAAAGAAATTCAATGACTTAAAATCCGAAAAAAATGTTATGATAGATCCTTCAAATCGTCTGGCTACTGTGGAACCAACCATAAGAAACTCGTACTCGCAATAATCCTTCCCAATCTTGAGTAAAGGATTCTGGATTTCATTTGGAATGGAAAGGAAAAGACGAGGGAGGAATAGATGCACAGGCATAACTAGATAAGGTAATAAAAAATTAAAAAAGAAAAACCAAATATAGGTTAATGTTAGAGACAAAAGTGTCGGAAAAGAGTAAATGTAGGATGGAAAGACCAAGTAAATACCTGTCCAATTTGGAAACAGTGATGCTAGACACCTCTAATTTAGGGAACAGGGGTTCTTGCTGTGCTCAAAGTACAGTAGTGACTGTGGTACCTCTGTTTGAGGTGTATTATGGTCTTATTTTTATTATCTAGACCGTTCATATTGTAGGGTTTGTTGAGTACTCCATACCTACCAAAAATCATATTAATCGGATATCAATAACTATATGATCGAATTGCATATTGTTTATGCAATTTCTTAAAAGAAAAACTTATTATTTATTTTTTTGATTATCGATCATATAGTTGTTGATATCCGATTAAGATGATTTTTGGTAGGCATAAAGTACTCAACAAACCTTACAAAATAAACGGTTTAGATAATAAAAATAAGACCATAATACACCTCAAACGGAGGCACCACAGTCAAGCACAGCAGTGACCCCTTTTCCCTAATTTAGAGGCTCTAAACACACCTCTAATGAGGTGGAAAAAAAGGAAAAAAAAAAAAAGCAGACACAGCACTGACAGTGGCAGTGGATGGAACCTACTGCCACATCACTAGTGGCACCTCTAATTAGAGGTCCCAAGCATTTTTCATATGGAAATAGATAGAGGAAGCTTGAGATATGGAGATTTAAGTGGAATTTTGTAAGAGAAAAAGCGAGAAAAATTATTTGAGATCAACAATAGAGAGACAATTGAGAGAAACTAGAATCTATCTCACCAGGCCTTGGAATGTCCATTTGCTTAATAGGCCCACTTTGTGATTCATCTATCAAAAATGTAAAAATCCCGAAGATAATTTATGATTATGTATCAATTTTAAACAATAAATAACAATCCCAATCAAACAATCAAAGAAAAATCGACACAACGATTTTAACGTGAAAAAATCACAACTGGAGTGCCTCCAATTGTGATAAAAAACTACGGGCTAAAGCCACAAAACAATTCACTAAGAAGACACAAAGGAATTACACAAGTATACTTTCAATTACCTAGCGAATCCACGCCCGAATCGAACCGACCCCTATGTGCCTCTTCCAGCCTCGTCTTCACCTCAGAATTGTCTCGCTCAACGTTGAAACCACAACGCCGATATTGAATCCATGACGATGAGCCACTCCGGAATCCACCAAAGCTTCAGGCCCAAATTTTACGGAATCCACAAAAGAACAACTCTCTTTTTAGAAAAAAAACAAACTAAACAAGCTCTTTGATATAATCCATTCAATTCATGGTTAAACTCTCATAGATATCAAAGGAAACAAGCAAAGAAGCTCCATATGAAAATCCTAATACCAAAGAAAAAGATCTGGAAGCCGTATCTTAAAACCTGACTGAACCGCAACTTTTATAGCAAACAGATTCGCAATCTCCACTCGAGTGCAGGAAAAGGCCACTTGAGCGAAAAAATACAACTTCCAGTACTTTTGTAGGCGAGTAAAACTTCTGAAACAAACACCTTCGACTACAATTTTGCCTTTTGCTTTAGGGGTGTTGCCCCTCGACCCCACCCAGGCTCCACCCCGGACCCGCCAATAGGCGGAGCTAACTGGGTAGCTCGATCCCCAACATAGTCAGCGAAATGGCAAACATGAAAGAATTAACTTCTGAAACTTCTTTGCAAGGCACAATTCGGGTTGAATTCGCATTTAAAAACCCATAGCCTCACTGAAATAAAAGTTAAACAAAATTACAATTGAAAGGAGTTTTGTCAAACGGAATTGCCAAAAACAAAAACCTAACAATTTGCCACCACTGACTCTCGCACAACAGGTCTAATGTTAAATTCTAAGGCCCAACCACACTATTACTAGGCCTAATACCACTTCTAGATCCACACCAGGTTTGAGTAAGCTTGAGCCACTCAAACTTCTTACAAATCCAAGTGTGAAAAATATGATCATTATATCTCTAATAGCCCATTGCTATGTTGTTTGTTTGGTTTCCAACTGCCATTAATGTGTCACATGCTCCTTTCTCAAACTCCTTCTCCATTGACTCTGGAACTATCGTCTCACTCCTCTAGCTCATTTTCTTCTCCACTTCAACTATATGACTTAACCCATGTGTCTTGACCTCTTTTGCCTCATTATCATTTTGCTCCAACTCATGTGCCGACTCATCATCCCAGCTGTCATCATCTCCTTCTCCTCTGCCCACCCTACCATCATCAAACTTTTCATCTTCATTTGAGTTATAGTTTTTAACATTCTCATGGCATCATTATTGTTTTAGCAACGGTAATCTTCTCTTCAAATACCCAAATTAGGTATAGGACTCATTTGCATTCTAAGTTTATCGTTTTGTTTATTGATTCCATGCATCTGGTGGCTATCTTGATCTTTGCACATACAAAGGACTCTT